AAAAACTAACAACTCCTAAATTAAGAATTGTTTTAGTATTAACAATTCTTAACTTGTTACTATACAATAACACGCTCAAGAAAAAAATAGTACATCAAATAGTAATATGCTCAAAAAAAAAAATAGTAACATTAAATAGTAACATGATCAATAAACTTAATTAAAAATTTAATCATTGTAATAGAATGATGCCTCTATAACATAATAAATACTTACATTTAGTGTCACTCTATTGCAATAATTAAATTGAGCATGTTACTGGTTGATATTACTATTTTTGTGTTGAACATGTTATTGTTTGATATTATTTTTTTTTGTTAAGCATGTCATTGTTTAATGTCACTATATATGTGTATGTGTGTGATAGAAAAATAATTTTAATGCTAGCACAATTTTCAAGTTATGAGTTATTATATTTGAAAACATTGAAACTAATAATGATAAACAATATTTATCGTAAGGGTAATTATGGAATACATTTCAAAAAAATTTAAAATATTTTAAAATATGTACTTATTGATAACTATTTGATAAAAAAAAAAAGCTTAATGGAGTATAAATTTGGAGGTGGTACTTAAAGTCAAATAAGTTATAAAAAAAATACTCACAACCTATGAAGCACGGATACTTCGTCAAGGTTGACGTACCCGTATCCGATACAGTATCGGATACGATACTCGTCGGATATTCGATGATACGTATCAGACACACATCATCCGTATCCGATAATTAATAAAATATGTGGATACTTCGCGGATACTTCTAAATATGGTGTAAGATGTACAATTTTTCAATTTTAAGTTATAATCCTTCTTTGGAGTTCACATACAATATAAAACATCAATAAAATTCCATTTGATTTTAAAAACACGAGTGTTTTTTAAGTATTATCTATTATTTTATGTTAAGAAGGTATAAAAAAAATAAATCACTTACACTATACTTTTAAAAATAAATACTTGTAAAATCAACTAATTAAATGTTATTATAATTCCTTTAATTTGTCATGCTCATTTTATGAACAGATCATAATGAGATGATATTATAACCTTTTCATGGTAAAATTTTTTAATTTTACTTACTAATGTTAAAGAATTATTGAAAAATTATAATTTCTAAGTCGTTAAATAATAATAAAATATAAAATATATTTTATTATAGACGTGTCCTAGTCATACCCATATCTTATTTTTTTAAGTTTTGCCGTATCACCGTATCCGTATTGTATCATATCGTATCCGTATCCGTGCTTCCTACCCCACAACCAATTATCCATTTTTGTATATCCAAGAGTCATCATTTATACGGAGAAGTTGGTTTGTAATGTCCATCTAAAAATATTTTTAATTTTTTCTTTTATTTAAATTATATGTGCTTTTTAACTATATAATTAATTATATTTTTTTACTCATAACTGCAATAATCCTTTATATACATTTATTTTAATCTATTTTTAATTAATTTTTTTATTTGCGTACACAAGTACAAATAACAGTCCTGGAATGTGGGATTAGATGTAATGTAATTGAATAATTAAAATTTTGTTTCGAAATGATTAAAGAAATCAGAATTCTAGACCTGGTTAGGTTTGCATCTCAAAAATTATTTTTCTATTCATATTTGACCAAATGTTTTTTGTTTTCATTTTTATTTTTTGAAAACTTAGAACAAATAACAAGTTCAGCTAGTTTGTTTTTTTTTAAACAACTTTTTTAGAGTTTTGAAAATACCATCACCATATTTCCACCACCACCCCTTTACTTTTCCACCAGTACCACACTCCAACCACCACCACTAGCACCAGCACCATCACAACATTTATGTTTTCAATATTTTTTGAATTACTGTGCAAATAAATTTTAATATTTTCTATTCCGTATAACTATTTTTAGAATCATATAACAAAATAAGTCATGAAACACAAAAAACAAAAAATAATTTTCGGATACTTTTTTTTGAGACACAAAACCAACTAGTGCTAATGTTTTCGAGGTATTTTTGAATATTTTTAAATGTTTAGAGATGTTACACATGTGTTTTACTATTTTGTTTTAAAAATATTTAAGATATTTTAATATTTTAGATGTTTTAAAAATAATTTTTTATATTGTTTATTTATTTACACGCTATTTTCAAAATATCTTTATTTTTTGAGAAACCAAAATTATGCACCGAAATAAAAATGTTAGGGTGTGTTTGTTTACTGTTTTTATTTCATGTTTTATGTCTTTGTTTTCAGTTTTTGTCAAAAAAACAAACAAAAACATGTTGACTAATTGTTTTTGTTTTTTGTTTCAAATTAATTATATTAGAAACAAGTTGTACAAATAAGAACAAAAAAACTATGTTTCCAGGAAATAAAGGAAACACGAAACACGCGTTTTGCAAAATAAGAATTTTAATGATGTTTCAACTTCGACTCCTATTAGCAACAAAAAGACCACAAAACATGTGATGACAGTATAAATATGGGCCTTTTGGTCTTTTTATTATTTTCATTCTCACATCCTCTCTCTCTCAACGACTCTTTTTTTTTCCTCTCACAGTCCTTTTTTCTGTCTCCTTTCTTTGTCGCTTGATCAATGTCTCAATTTTCTCTCCCCCTCTCTCGTTTCTCTACTCTCAAGTCTCAATGACCTTGCCACCGTCATAATGCCAGCTCCAACATCATCGACAGGAGTAGAGCTAGAAAATTGTTTATAGTGGACACATTAATATGTTTTAATTTTTTTTAATTGATCATAAAAATTCTTAAATTTATATTTATTGAAATTATATTTAATACTTAAAAGTTCAATATACAAAGAAGATTAAAAACCTATATACATAATATGAACAAAAAAAAATTAGAACTTTTTATCAAGAATGAGACTAATTATTATCACTTAAAATTGACAATGATATGCTTTTATTATTTTAAAGAGTTACAAATTAATTTTATCAGCAATATTTATTTTATATATAAAATCATAGTAACAATCTTCCATTTATAATTCTATAGTTTATTACATAATGACACATATTTTTATTCAATAACGAAATAACCCTAAAATTTAAAAAAATATATAAAATAACTTCAATATGTTTAAAAAATATTCAAACATGTCTAAAGTGTGTCTAAAAATTAACAATAATATTAGTTCCATCTAATTTGAGATTTAGTTGGTAGAGACACAATGGTTTGTGACTATTGAATAGATAGTAGAGTTTATTAAATATTAAGACTCACTATTAAACTTAATATCACAATGTATTAGGTATTAATAATATTATTCAAAAAATTAATAATCACTTAGTTAGAGATCTATTAAAATCGATATCACTAGCATACAATATTAGGGTGGGTACAATTAACTATATCTAAACTTTATTTCAAAAATACATGTCTAATAAGAAGAAAAAAAAATTGAGGAGGGCGTGTGCCCACCCTCGCCCAAGGGTGGCTATGCCTTTGATCATCGAAGCCCTTTCTAGTGTTGTTTCAACTATCGATGCCCTAGCGCTCATCGTACACTGGGGCGGAGCCACCTTATGCCCACCCTCAATTTTTTTTTTAAAATTACTTATGTATATTTTAAGTATTTTTTTAATATATTAAATTGTGCCCACACTATTTTTTAATCAAGACCAAAAAAGACATGATATATTAATGAGTTTATTTATAATTTTAACATTTATTTTAATAATTATCATGACAAGATAAAAAAATATATTTTATTGTATAATCGAATTGATGATAAGAGCATCTGCAACCCATTCTTTATTTCCTCTCTTTTAGTTATTTTAGCTAACCAAACCTAAAAAACACTCTCCAATCCACTCTCTATTTCATAAATGGCTCTCCAAATGTGTAAAGCTATTTAGTCTCTCTAAATTCTCTATCTAGCTTTTTTTTTTTCTCTCTCTATATATGTTGTATTCCCTTTAAATTATTGAAAGTTATCCCTTTAAATTATTGAAAGTTAGTGAAAGTTGGGTGAAATAGTAGAGAGTGTGGTTAGAGTAAATTTGTAACAATTGTCAGTTAAAAAAAGAATGTAATATTTAAATATATTTTGACTAGTTATTTTGGAGAACTAGGTTGGAGATGTTCTAAATAGCTATGCAATAATATAATATGGATATAAATAATAATAAAGTTAATGCAATACTTTCAAGATATAAAAATTCAACGAAATTAATTCTAAATAATTTTAATTAGCCTTTATTTGGTAAAATAATATTATTAGTTTTGTTTTTTTTGTCATTTATATCTACTATAGTTAACAATTTTAGTCTTTTAAATTTAATAAAATTTTAAAAATTAAATAGAATATAATTAAATATAAATACATTGTTTTATTTTTATCAATTACGCAAAAAAAAATTTAAACTTGTTAAAGTATACGTGGCCCACTCTAAAATAATATTTTTAGCTCCGCCACTGATCCTACGGATATCTCTCTCTCCAACACCGCCGAACGAATCAGGCCCTCTATCTCTCTCTCTCTCACAGTTGAACTTGAGCGACTTCAAGTTCTCTCCGTCGAACTCAAACGGAGCAGCCTTGGCATTTAGGTTTTCGTTTTTGCTTAGCTTGAAGGTTGGATTGTACTGATTTTTTGGTTTGAAATTAGTGTTAGTGTTTTCTGTTTGAAATTGAAATTGATTGTTATATGCCCATAAAGTATTCGATGAAGTGCCTGAAAGAATGTATATTGTTTATGTTATACGTCATAAGCTCGCTAAATCTGCTATCAACAATGACAATTGACTTGCCTTGTTCTACCTTTTGAACAATATGAATACGTGAAGGTCATTGACCCACCCACCTGGAGTGCTCGCCGTCGACATTGCAGTTCAAATCTTGGGTCATTTTCAGATTCTGTTTTTCACTTCAATCGAGCTCTAACCTACTTGGGCTATCATTTCTTCTTATTTATTTATTTGTTTTTGACATTTGTTAATGGTTGTTTAAGGGAAAAAGAAACCTAAATCGTTAATGGGGCAGCAAAGTGGTCATGAAGGGTGGGTTTCTATTGTCCCAGTCATTGAAGGCAAGTAAATTGAGCTATTTAGCCCATTGTGCTAAAGACAAGTCCCAATTTAGAGAGACCCTGAAGGAATGTGGATGTCCCTGGCAGGCAGAACTTGGGAGCTTCAAATAATAGTGGGAGTGTGGCCTTAAAAGGCACAAACGTATTCATTACTCACCGGGGAGGTTTATGGTTGTCAACTCTTAATTAATATTTACCTATCTAACAACACAAAATTATTGATTATAATTTCAGTACTAACAATATTAGATCATTAACAAAAGCACTCATCTTATGTTTTTGCTAGTTCGCTAAAATAAGATTGATTATGGAAAATATGTTCCATTTCATTTAGCCTTGATTTAATTCTTTGTTTGTATGAGGGTATTTTGTGTTGAGCTTGGTTTGATAATTGTTTTATATGGGTTGACGAGTACAACGCAATTACAAATGAACATCATGTGATTCTCCAAGCCCAATCAAGATGGAGAGAGAAGAAATGGATCACTATTATGACATATTATAAAACATATTTAGGATATAATAAAACCATATTTAGTATATAACTTGAAGTAGTTACCAAATATGTTTTTTATTTTTATTCTCATTATTTGATAAACACAGATGACTCCCAAACATGTTTTTTGTTTTCAGTGTTTATTACAAGGCAGACAAAAATTGTCTTTATTTTCGCAGTTTTTGAAAACACGAAAGCAAAAACGTTACCAAACGGGCCTTTAATGCTTGATGTAATCCAAAGTCTCATTATACTCTTCTCGGTAGGTCTATTTGCCATTAATTTCGGTTTGATAGCACACATCGGAACTGGTTCGTTCGTTTGAGCGTTGTTGTCTTAGGTTTTAGGGTTTTTCACCACAAATCTTTGACCATGGTCCAATTTTGATGGAAATTGTTGCACTCTTTAGTCAATTGAAGAACATATAAATGGTAGAACCCCACCCCCTCTGTCACTCCTCACAGTTCTTCTCTAGGTATGTCTTAACTTGGATTCATTATTTGTTTTTTTGGCTTCCTTAGATTAATTTAATATAATTGGGTACCTTGACCAATTGATTTGCATGCCCATTTTTGATATGCTAGAATATGAACTTTTTTTTGTGGTGAAAAAAACTTGGTGCTTACTAGATGATGCTCAATTTCTTTTATTTTTGACATCAGATGTTCGTGTATATGTGTCTATATTTGTGGGGTATACCCTCTTTCATTTTTGAAGCTGGTATATAAACCGGATTTGAAGTTATTGCCAACACAAATAACGCTGTTTTGTAAAATTCGGATTGGTGAATATGAAGAGCTAGAAGGATTTGGATATGTTCAAGAGAATTGCGATTTGCGTGTGTATTTGGATTAAATATTGCATTGATGTGATTATATTGTATATAACTGCAATGTTTACTGGTTAATATATGATTTAGGAAGGTTGTTAGTTGTTAGATTTTTTATGAGTGTCAGTATTTGGATTTGTACGTGGGTGAACTATAAAGATTGAGTTCCTATCATACGTGGGTGTGATGGTATGATTTTGGAAGTTAGAACCGCCGCATAATGGTTCTTACCCTTCATCATTTATAGTATTCAGCGATAAGTGAGTGGTGCTTAATTTTTGCGACTGTACCTTGTTTTGATCCTTAAGAAGCTAACAAGAAATTTATATCTTCATTTTTTGTGCAGAACAGAGATTTACCCCCCCCCCTCCCCCCCCCAAACCCCCACCCACACGCACAAAAAACCCCAAAACAGCTGAGAAGAAGTAAAAAAGCTTATATATCTCTGCAGGAACTGTGGTTGTGAGGTCCCACTGTCCCATTTATTCAACTTCTTGACAACCAAACTGAGTTACATGGATTTAATTTACAAACACATGATGGATTGGTCATCCTTTTACTTGTCATCGTCTTGGTCATGCCAATTTCCATGTAATGGAACTATCTGAGTGCATGTGGAGTGTGTGTAAAATTCTGCTGAGGTGGAAGTACTTCTTTTGCAGAATGATTTGGAAACCTTGGAATTCATGGGAAATTTACCAGGTTTATGCATTGTACTCTACCTAACTATACATTGTACTGTGCATTCCCAGTTTTATTGGGCTAGGTTTGATTATTCCAGTTACGTGTCTGGATTGAGAGAAAAAAAAATGTGGAGTTGCATTCAGTTTGAGCCTCTGATCTACTTCATTGTAGGGACAAGTGTAGGAGAACCAAACTAAACAGAAGCACCTAAAGAATCTGATTATTAGGTCATCCCCCATTTGCCTTCATGAAAGTTTCTGAACTAGATGTGATCAAAGTCTCTTGTGAACGTTGCATTAGCTTGAGCCCATTAGTAGACATACATCTGAATGTTGCTATTTGTAAATCTTTTTTTCGTCCTTTTGTCGTACATGAGCTTGTGAAGCTTTTATAATACACCAAGGGGGGTTGTGGACATTTTGACGGAATTGTTATGTATAATATTACAGTGGGTTAGAAAGGTAGCATTTTTAGGTATGCTGATATTTAATCGTTCTCTCTCTCTCTCTCTCTCTCTCTATCACTCTCTCTCAGTGGGACTTATGGACTCTTTCAATGTTGCTATTTACTTATTCTATCTTGCCTTTCACAGCACTGATGGGGACAGAACGAACAAGGACTTCTTCTAAAAAAGACAATGTGGACAAGCTCTCAGTTCCACCTGGTTTTGTGTCTCTTACGTCAATCATACTGAGGAGAGTAGAGAACGGTGACGGAACTTGTAGTTCTATGGCATTTGGAACTGAGTTGGAGCCAGCATCAGCCCAGATTGATACTGCTTCCAATGTAATCGACATTGCAAAGCTTAAGAGGTCTCTCAAGCGTAGACCATGGATACTTCATAATCAACTTGATTACAATCCCGAGGAATCAGGCTCTGAAGAGATTGATATGGTGTTCTATCTTTTGTGTTATTGTTTTATTTGATCTTTCAATGATATAGTATAAACTGGATGCTGCATTACGTAGGCTTCCTATAAGTTAATACTATGTGGAACTTTCAATTTTGTTCATTAAGATCTAGTATATTCATTAGCTAGAGTCTTGGATGCTATTTGAGAGCATGGCATAAGCGGTATGTCATGGTTGCTCCAAACATACTTTCGGAAAGAAAGGGTGTATCATTGGTGAATTATATCTTCAGATGGGATGTTGTGAGAGAATAGGGCAAAGACAAGAAACAAAATATTCTTGCATAAATGCACTTTTGAGAAGTTGAGTTGGGCACAAGTTAAAAAAAATCGGGGTTCTTATCATTTAGTCGGGTGCAGCAAAGGCTGATGAGCACAGTCATGAGGGTTGTGGTTCCTGTTGAAGAATCTAACTTGATGTTCTCTGGAACGACATGGCAATTAGTGACTTTACTATGAACATTTTTGTGATATTTAAAAATGATGAAATAAGAGGGGGAACTCATTTTTAGTACAATATTCTTCCAAATTTAATATTTTTATTCTTCTTAGTCAATAATGTTAATTGTATGTGACCTTATTCCAATAATTCTAGCTGAAGTGAGTCCTCATCTGTTTTTGTTCTGTATTTTGTGGAAGTGTTTAGTATGCCTTTATTAGTTGGGTGTGTGGAGTGAGAATTTCGGCCCTAGTTTTTCGTCTGTGTGTTATAATTAATTGTAGGATCAATAGCACTTTAATATGTTTTAACGCTAGGCTGGCCACTGGTGAACTATGTGCTTGCATCTTCACGTGTTTATTGCTGAAGCAGTATAAATATCTTATGAAAACTCACTTTAGGAATTCAGGTTATTTATGATGCAACTGGGTTTAGTTTCCCATATCACGGAAAGGTTTTCAGCTTTTATCACTAGTCATTATGCTTAAGATTTGTTGCATGATCCTGAAATAAAATTCATTGCCGTGCTGATATCCATTGTTTTGCAGAATCTCC